TTATAAGTTGGGCTAGAGGCAGTAAAGGGAAGCTACAGTTAGGGGAGATGTTCTAAATATCATCAAATTATATTGTATGAAAATTTCAAAAATTCAATTAAAAAGAAAATCTCAGCTCCCATCTTCCACACAAGCCTTTCTGCAGAAGAAAGTCCCAGCTATGCAGCTGTATCCGAGGTGTCCTTCTAGGGACTGCTGGGTGAAGACCTGTCCTCTGAGGAAAGAAGGGAAGCTACAGTTAGGGGAGATGTTCTAAATATCATCAAATTATATTGTATGAAAATTTCAAAAATTCAATTAAAAAGAAAATCTCAGCTCCCATCTTCCACACAAGCCTTTCTGCAGAAGAAAGTCCCAGCTATGCAGCTGTATCCGAGGTGTCCTTCTAGGGACTGCTGGGTGAAGACCTGTCCTCTGAGGAAAGACTAACTTGCATTTAGCTCAACTTGATCTAGAATTAGTTTGTGGTTCTGGGGATCAAATCCTAGACTCCCTCCTGCCAGACAAGGGCCCTACCAGCTAAGCTACACCCCAGCCCTAGAATTTCTTAATAACACCATTATTCTAGGAGAATTGTTGACTCACTATAAACAGTGAGAAAATAGACTTGTTTGGGAAAGTTTTTTAGCTAAAGTTGAATTGGAGGAGTCTGTTGAGTGCTTTATCTCCTTGTTTAGCAGTTTACATCTTCTTGGACTCTTGGACGAATCAGGCTGGAGAATGGTTTCCCTAGAACATGCCCTGATCTATAAGAGGCAAAGTGGAATTCCTCTGAACTCGCCTCAGACCCTAGAAACGAAGCTACACTGATTTGAATCCCCTGCAGCTCATTCTGTAGAAGGACATCATGGTCTGTATGATCTGGAGACAGACACTTCAGGAACCTGTGGTGTTTGCGATACAAGTTTCCTGACTTTTATGTGAAGTTGGGCCCACCACTCATTCAATGGCTATTGTAGGAAAGAAAGCTCCAAAGATTTACAGCAATATTATTAGTACCAACAACCATTAGTACTCACTTCAAGAGTGACTAATTAGAGTTCTACTAGGTAACTTAAATGTGGTTATTAACGTGACAAGCAGATCAATATGTGATAAAGCAATACCATTTGCCAGTTCAAAACAAATTTATTCCGATTATAATTCTCAAGTGTCAGGTTGTCAAATGTATTGATCTCAAGAGACGAATTATAATTAATGCATTACTGAATGTCCAGTTTACCAGCTTTGCTACTGATAGTAAAATATTTTTATCTCCAGCAAGGAAAGATCAGAGAAGTTCTGAAAAATTTGTGTTTCATAAATTTAAACATGTTGCAGTTTGAATTTCATGCATTTTAACACCCCAAGAGTCATACTTTTGCATCATAGAAAACAAAGGGGGTGGGGCGAGCGACTGGAGAGATGGCTCCATGGTTAAGAGCACTGGCTGCTCTTGCAGAGGACATGGGTTCGATTCCTAGCACCTACATGGCAGCTAACGACTGTCTGTAACTCCAGTTCCAGAGGATCCAATGCCCTTTTTCTGACCTCTACAGGCATTGAACAACATGGGGGTGGGTAAAAATGCAGATGTCATTTCTGATTTTGGGTCTTGGAGTCAAGAGAAGGGAACCAGCGAATCAGGTACTGTAGAGCAAGAGGAAGGGAAGACACTTCCCCAGGGAGAATTCCCAAAGAGCGATGAGCAACAGGGCCTGAACGATGCCTTCAAGTGTTCTACGTGCTGTGTTCCTTCTTGGACAATGGAAACTGTCAGTAAAATTTGCATGCATCGGTGATTGTGTTCCTGGGAGATGGAGAACATAGCAGAAAGATGACCATGGTCTGTGGAGAAGAAAGACCCGCATGGCTCTTGTGACGCCTTCCCATCTCCACCACTGGACCAAAGGCTTCTCAGCAGAAACTGTGCACTTAGTGTCCACACCCACAGTTCCCTTCACTGCCAAGGCTATACGCCTGGTTAAACCGAACTGAATAAATACAGGTGAGTGGTATCTGATGGACGTTTTTCTCCTTGTACAGGAACCGAGCCTCCTGCTCACAGAGGTGAATTTGAATGGCCTCAGTTAAAATGATGCAGAGCTTGTTCTCCCTTCTGCAACTTGTGCCAGCTTTTTGCAACACAGGTGGTCCTTCTGATGCCAGGGGGGACAGGCTGCACCCCACGTGAACTGTGAGCCCCATTAGTGATTTGGGGCCACTGGATGGCTCAAGAGAGGCCCAGAGAAATTTGCTTTTGCTTTTGCTGGGTTGCTAGAAAAGGAGGGGGAGGGGAGGAAGTTTTT